TAGAAGTTTTTATTCAATGATATTTTAGGTCTAGGTTACATCTCTATTTATAATAGAAAACCCTGGTACATAATTACAAAATTAACCATGTACCGTACCGCGGGGGTTGCGCCCCCGCACCCCCCAACCCACATAATTCGTAACCCCACAACGAGACTTTCTTTGTAAGGACAGTTGATGTTCGCTGCGTTCGCTTCGCTCACTCCGCTCCATCTCCTGTCCTCTTTACTGGTATATTTATGAGCCATACCTAACAGAAATGGACGCTAGAACAAAATTACAATTTTTCTTGTTACATGGTGCTATAAAGCTAGCGAACAAAAATATCGTGACACCAAATGGAAGCGTAGAGCACTTTTCTATATGCCACACCAATCTTATCAAGCAAAAAACCCAGAGTAAAGCATTTTAAAGATTCCTGAATTACCTGTAGGCAGAGCTAGAAGAAAATATATATGTGAACATAAACAGATACTTGTGTCTGTGCAAGCATGCACATGTTTTTTGTATGCATCAGAAATAGAGGTCACATAAAATTCTTGTTAGCATATCTTTCAACAATCAGTTTTGGACATCAATTGAGTTCACCATCCCCGCTCCCAGCCCAACTACTAAAGTTTCCTTTTTGGGTGAATAATTAGAACTTAGTCACATACTATGTTCACTTGAGCTAAAATACAGATAATGCAGAACCCATGGTTATGCCGCTAATCATAGCAGGTAACAGCACTAACAAGAATCAACATTCACAATTATAGGCAAAACTTTAGGAAATAGGATTAGTTATTTGGGGTTACTTTTATTTCTATGGGCTTGATTCTATATTTATGTAATTCCGTGCTTCGGGTAGCATTTGAGATTTGGAATCAAAGACTAGAAACAAAAGAGACGAGAGAGTTTTTATATTTTTGATCATCATACTTCAGAGTTGAGACTAGTAATTTTGGCATTGAGATTTTTGGGGTTCTACATACCAAACCAACAGTTTAAGGTTTTACCTACTGACCAAAATATTTATTCCTTTAGTTTGTTATGTGTATGTGTGTAACACATATATTTCCTCTCCAAGCCGTTAAGTAATTGCAAATTAGTGACAAGACACAAAAGATTAAGATTCTTAAAGAAAAGAATGCACCAAGATATGCACATATTAAAATAATTAAATCTTACATGAGCTATGCTCCCATGGATGGTAGCTCGCTCTCTGAGTAATTGCATTTTCGGTGACATGCTCCCAGATGCCTACATTAAGGCAGATGTAGTGAACTTCAGGAAACAATAGCATGGGAAATTACTAATTAGAGCAACAAATTTAAGAATATTACTACCTTAGACTCACTGATATCTTCCCTCACAGAACTCAGAAGCTCTGCATGTTCCCTCATTGCTTGATTCTTCTGAATTCCTTAAAACGAAGAATTATACCATTACTTCAAACGTATATATTACTAATCAACTTATCCAAATAACAAATGCCCAAAGAAGTAACAGCGCTATTTCATGGAACATGGATACATTAATCGATAATGCAAGGAACCAAAGTGGTAAATGAAGTAACTAAAGAAACCATAGGGTTTGGTCATGTAGCAGCGTAAATATACAAGTGAGGAAGACGTTACTCTTCAGAAATTGAGAGTGAATGAATGCATTTTGGGGGCTTGGTTTGATACATACAAGGTAACAGCAATATTTTAACTGGGTAATTCCAAGGAAAATGGGTACATTAACTTTAGTGCAATGAAACAGAGTTGCAAATAAAGAAATTTAAGAAACCCTAGGTTTTGGCAATACGACACGTAAATGCGTGAGGGAAGAATACTTTTTCCCTTTTTCTTTTCCTAAGAAAGCATTTGGTGCTTAGTTCAATATGTGACAAATAATATCAGGACTGCTCTACTCTTCTTCCAATTCTTTCATGGTTCAGTGAAAAGAAGAGATCAGGTAATACTAAAAACAAATGTCATCCATATAGCAAGTTCTTATGTAAATTAAAGGGACTCCCCTTTGTCCATGGAGAATTTTTTTCTGTAAGCACTGTACATATACAGAAAACAGAGCGATAACAAAGAAAATATATTATATCTGAGTTTGAGTTCCATAGCTCCTAGAAAAGTATCAAATTATTAGAGTGAAGCTTTCAAAGAAAAAAATGGACCAAAAAACTTTCGAGAGTTTGGTTATATTTTCTTCTTTCACGGCCAATGAAAGCTTGACCTCAGTACTGTATAATACAAACAAAAAGCAAAAATAAAAAGAATAATATATTCATGGACTTACCTGCATTTGTTACTAGCATGTTTATTGGCCACGGGTTTAAAGTTTGAATTGATCATCTTACTAGAATACTTCACCATGAAGCTGTTTTGCTATAAACAAAAGAAAATTCTCTTTTAAGTATTTGCACCAAAAGCTATTCATTGCTTATACTGAATTTCTTCTCCAATTGAAGTAATTGAAAGGCTATTAACAATCAAGGACCATGAACTCTTACACTGGTAACTTGAAATAAAAAATTTATAAAATAGAATGGGAGATTTATATTCTACTCCAAATGAAGGTACATATACCCTAGTAAGGACTGTCAAAACCAACCAGAAAAACATGAAATAAGCATGCCAGAGCTTGTCTCTGCAGAAGAAAAGCAGCTTCATGGTGAAATATTTTAGTAAGATGATAAATTCAAAATTTAAACCTTTGTCCAATAAACATTCGAGTAAAAATGCAGATAAGTCCTTTAAAACATGATATAAGCATGCCAAAGCTTGTCTCTATAGAAGAAAAGCAGCTTCATGGTGAAATATTTTAGTAAGATGATAAATTCAAAATTTAAACCTTTGTCCAATAAACATTCTAGTAAAAATGCAGATAAGTCCTAGAAGAAACATGACTGTTATAATACACTCACAATTTACTTATTAGATGCAATGTAGGACAAGATGTCATGAAATGCTCATATTCCCTTAGGGGTCTTAATACCTTATAACTAAACATGAAAATCTGACTTAAGAAAACAAGTGTAGAAAACAGAGTCAGCGGATTAAACCTGAGTAAACTCATGTAGTATGTCTCTGTGCCTTGCAAGTTTCTGGGTTACCGAAGTAGTCGGTGCAGAAGATGCAGCACATCTACTCATAGCATCATTTATGTCCAGCAGTTTCTCAACCAATGATTGAATTTCAATTTCCAAAGACTTCCATGATTTGCTTGACCCGGCCGGTGGCGACCCAGTATCTACATAACCTAAATGTAAGTAAATATTATCACAAAGAAAAAAAAATGAAAGAAAACCAGATTCCTAAGGCTTTGGATTCCTAAAATAGAAAAAAAATTATCATTAAACATATCTTCAGAATATGTTCAGTTCTTCAACAGATTTGTTCCTAATTTCAATAATCTACAGGGGGGAAACAACACACATTCCATAAAATAAAAATAAAAAAGGAGGAAAATGAGCAAACCTCCTGGGTTGAACCTAGCACCGAGCTTAGCATAAGAAGATAGTTTGACATCGAGATCGCCTTCGATCTTTCGAGCTTCTTTCCTCAATTCCTCCCAACCCGATTCTTGTAGATTCAGGTTCGGATCCATCATTTGGATCTCAGTAGTTCAACTTCGGATTCCTTGCTCTTCAATTCCAGCGATGAGTTATTACAGTTACTAAGTAACCTTCATTCAATTGGAGATATGAAAATGCTGGTGAGTGCTTGAGGGCGGGTAGTTCATATAATATATATATATATATTATCTGCTTGGCTTTATCATATCTAATTTTACCCCTGAACTATAACTAAAAGATCATTTTCTTCCTCTGGTGGCTGCAGGTGGTCTGATCCGAGATAGCAATGGGGACTGGAAAGCGGGATTCATGCTGAGATTAGGGAGGGTTAATAGTTCGCTCGCTGAAATTTGTGGGGCTCGACAGGGTCTCTTGTTAGCGAAAAGTCTAGGGCTTAGGAACCTAATCCTAGAGATGGATGAAAAATGGATTGTGGACCTCTTTAATGGAGACAAAATGGTTGACGCCTTTGAAACTGATCTGGTAAATGATTGTTTAGACATCCTTAAGGAAGGATGGGTGGTTGAAGTTCGGCACATCTGGCGTGAAGGAAACAAATGCGCCGATAAACTTGCGAATCTCGCACTTCTACAAGGAGATGATTCCTCTATTCTAAAGTTGCCTCCACCTGAAATTCAGGCGTTGTTGGGAGCGGATAAGAACGAGGAGCGCCAGTTGAGACACTAGCTTACTGCTTTGTTCAAGTGTACCAAAAAAAAAAGATCATTTTCGTCCTTCAATTATTATTGTCTTTAAAATATCATTTGAACCACTCCAAATTAAATGTTTTGGTAATGTACATGAAAAATTCTAGTAGAGGGCTCTTCTCTGATGGTGTTCCAAGAAACTCAACATCTCCATGCATGTTTTGGTTTCAGGATTGAGTGGAGGTTTGGTTAGGTGTGTATGAATATGATGGTGGTGATGGGACGACAGTTTCATGGGCGACAAAGTTTTAAGTTTGAGAGAGAAATGACAATACTAGAATTAATTTTCTAGATGAAGAGATAATAATAGTTTAAGGACAACATTGATGTCCTAGTTATCATTTAGTGGTTAAATTTGATATTAATTATTTTTAAATACATGTCACATCATCATTTGAAGTAATGGAATGATGATCTTGTGATAAATCGACAATTGTAACGATGATAATATAATTTTTAAAACTTAAGCGACTAAAATGAAAATATTCTCAAAAATAAGTAACCATTAATGTAGTTTACGCTTAATTTATTACGCGTGAGCTTTGACCCTGACGCCCAATTCAAACCCTGTTTCGTCCTCCCATTGACTATATTCCCAAACCCCCTTCTTTTTTCTGTTTTTACATACCGAGTTTTCAGTGATTCGCTTTCTATTTATAAACAAGGCCATCTCTCCCCATTCCAATCCACCCACATCTTTCCTAAGATTCCGTGTTTAATTCATTCTTGAGAGCTGCTAAAAAGAATAAGAAGAAGGTTAGTGTTTTCATATAAATTTCGTCTGTAATGAAAAACTCTGCTGTAGAGTGGAATAAGAATGTCTAATATACCAACGTCTCTTTCCGAAGTTTGCCTTACTCTCTCCCGCCTTACCATGTCCATCGCCGATCCTTGGCCCTTTTCATAAATCTCTTTTTTTTCTGTAACCAAACCCTTTTTGCTTTATTCTTGTTAGCTCGTAGGAGAAAAAAATACATACATAGAAAGGACAAGTCCCTCTTTTTGTTTTACGCTATCCATGGGGAAGATAAGAGGCTTTAAGATCGGGAAAAAGCTGGTCCGAATCTCCAGATGGTTCATCGGGAAATCTCGGTATCCACGTGGATATAGTCCCTTGATTCAATCCGGATCGTTTTGCAACTCAAACCCTTTCTCCAAGCTTATTACTTGGGGTCGCCGCTTGACAGAAGGAGCCAAATCTCTTTGCTCAGTGAAACCCGGGTCGGGTTACGTCTCCGTTGGTCAAGACCCCATCAAAGAGGAAGTCCCGAAAGGACACTTGACCGTCTACGTTGGTAAAAAAGGCGGCGACTTTCATAGAGTTTTGGTGCCGGTTATTTACTTTAACCACCCTTTGTTCGGCGAGCTCTTGCGAGGAACCGAAGAGGAGTATGGATTTAGCCACCAAGGAGGAATCACGATTCCATGCAGATTCTCGGAGTTCGAGAGGGTCCAGACCCGGATCGCAGCCGGAACCGGAGGGTGGAAAATGTCGTGGAAGCGCCACCATTGAGAGGCAGCTGCCGGTGGTGATAAAGGTGGTTGATATTTAGAATATTTGATAATGACGATAATTAATTCTGGTTAATGATTTGATAACGATGTTTACGGAATCTTTTATTTTGTAGGATTTGTATACCTTTTTTTTCAAATAAATTTTTATAAATAATTTTTAGTTATAAAATATCATTATGGATAAACTACAAGATTAATAACTCTCAGAGTTTTATATAATTTTTCTTATTGAATTCAAAAAATATAATACGTGATTACTTTCGTCTTTATTTAATTAAGAGTCGATTACTCTTATTTTTATTTAATTAAGATATGATCACTGAATATTAATGGTTGTTAGAACGTTAATGGATTGTTGATGTAGCATACCGAATTTATATAATTAAAAAAAGATAAACTATACAAATAGTCATTTATATTTGAGTAAATTTTCAATTTTTCAGTTAAAGTTTTAAAAGTAATAAATTTATCACTAAAACATTAAATAGGTCATTAAACACTAATTGTATATCTAATTTATCTCAAAAACATTCTCATTTAAACAACGCCTTTATAACATGTGTCTACACTGTACAAACAATGTGCCGTTAATTAGATACACTAAGTCTCTCCATACGATAACGGTGCTCTTTACAACTCGAAGGCTGCTATTTGAGAAAAGTTTTGTATTCCATTATAAGGTCAATTCGGCAGTTTGAGAAGCCATCATCTCCCACTTTTGATTGGAATAAGAGCCATATGATTTGGCTTAAAAGCAGCATTATTGGCCGACGAATAAAGCAGTATAGGGAATATTGGTATAACCATGGCCGAACCCTAAATAGTGGAAAGATTCCACTCAGTCTTCATTCGGAAGTTCCCTACCTACAGCACTTTACTTGAAACTATACAAATATTAAAAGGAGACTAGTACAGAGGGAAAAGGATATAGTTTCACCCATGATAATCCCTTTGTCATGTCAATTTTGATATACTTTTGCTTCTTTTTTCTGTGTAGATTCACCCCACGCAGATGATATCGGAAAAATAGTAGCAATATTAGCAGGTCTAGCCCTTCTCATTGTTCTCCTCTCTATATGCAGAAAATCTTCGCGTAAAGCTCTTTCTTCATTTCATTTCACTCCGTTCTCCCTCATTTGCAGAGATAATAACTTTGCCTTCTCTTTTCCCAGATTGAACCCCTGCTGTGGAAGTCGAGAATTTCCAGGGGAAATGTGCATGTTTTGTTTTTCAAGGCTCGCAGAGTGTATTCATTATTTCACAACTGATTCATGTTGGGTTTTTTTAATAACTAGGTGGCAGCTTTATATATTGTGAAATTTGTTAATGGAGCCGTAATCCTCGTCAACTTCAAAACATTAGCATTGGCGTGCTGTCTTTGTCTATAAAGAAAGAACATATTTGTAATATCCGTACACTACGAACACAAAGGATGAAATCAACTTTATTATTCACCAATAAGACTCTTTACAATTACATAAAGAACTAATGACAACATCGACACTTACAACCTTAACTGTTATTAATTTTACCAGCGGCGATTAAATTTAATCATAATCATACGTGTACAATTCCAATAAATTAAAGCCCCACAGTGTAAGGCACACCAGTGCTAGCCAACCAGGATTCCCGGCGAGAAATTCACCGGCGGTAAACCTTGACGCCTCGCTTGCGCTCCTAAGAACACCGTAACCTCCCCATTTGACTCTATTGGACGTCGACGAACCAGGGCCGGTGTTCATGTACTCGGCGTAATACAGCGTGTCAAGCGCGAAATTACCGTCCCATTCCATCCAACCGGCGGGGTTAATTAGGCTATCGAGATATGTTTTCATGAAAACTGTCCTCGAATATTGTTTCCATGGCCTCCCTAGGTACGTTTTGACCGACCCTTGCACCGGACTTAAATCGGAGTCTGGTTCGGGTCCGTCCGGCCTTGAGCAGTCACCGTATTAGTTTTATTCGGGGGATTCCGTGCATATATGTTGCAGTTTTGTAACACACAAGCTGCGTTACTAAATATGTAATCGACCGTTCCGTGGATGTCGCATTCTCGGTAAAATTGTCTCTCGGAGTGGACGTAAAGAGTGTCTTGGTACCCCTCGAAGCTGCATCTGTAGAACACCGAGAGATCGGAGCCTGAACGGAGAGCCACTGCCTGTTGGTTTCTAGGACCGGCGGTGTTTCTGAACGTAATGTCACGACCAATGAACCCATCTCCAACAACAGCTGAGATTCCAACGTTATTACAAAAAGAAAAAGAAGAACGTCAGTTAATATTTCATTTTCAATCTAGAATAATTTGACCCCAAAATTAATTGAATGCAGATCAAATCACATCAATGTAATTGTTGATTCATGCTGTTGTAGTTTTCAAAACATTTTCTTGACTAAAACAGCTATATTTTCTATGAATATCCCTAGCTTGAATCTGTCGAAATTCTAAGAACTTTAGAAGTAGAGAGCAGTTAAAATTTATAAATTTTCTCAACTTTTAATATTGCGTCTTAAGTTTTCAAGCTCTCCTCTTTCATTTTTTACACGTGACAAAGAAAAGGATATTTGGTTATAGTTCCCGTTTGACCCAGTTAATCTACTGACTAGGATGTTTGGTTTTTATTTATTGTTTTACCAGAAGTGTAAGTATTAATTAAGAAGCAAAGTTTATTATTAGTAAAACGATTTAAAAAATAAAATAAAAAAGGGAACTAACCAGCGTGTTCCTACCATTATTTTTTAATATGATTTAAAAAGTGTTTGTATTCACATGAAATACCATTTCATTTTATTGAAAATTTATAACTTTAATGATTTAATATTTTAAATATATTTGATAATTTATTTATTATAATATTTTCAGTGAAAAATATACAAATTTTACAGATTTGTTAGTAAAGCAACAACAATGACAAAATCCAACATTGATAACTAGAGTCTGGAGAGAAATAAGATTGGGTAAAATAGAGAAATAGGATTTTAGGGAACCCAATGTTTTACCCGATGAAGAAAGAGTGAAGAAAAATAATAATTAGAAATTATTTTTAATACTATTTGAACAAATGTATTTGTATTTACTAATTATACTTAAATAAAACTTATTTATATTTATTTGAATAAAATAATACATTTGAGTCTTACATATGTATATATATATTATATAAAAATACAAACGTTTCAAAAAGAAATTAGGCACGAGTTCGTACCTCATTAGTTTTAGATTTATAGGTTTTTTATTTGTTTAATTTATGTATCTACTAAGCTATATGTACAAGCTATGTAGGGATAGCTGGTGGTTATCCAAGAAAAATTAAAAACATCTTATAACATTTGTTGTTATTGTAAGCTGATTTATCATAATTAAATATATCATTTTAATTATGTACCTAGTATTTAGCATGAGGTTTCCTCTACTAATATTGCCTGTTTTTTCCTTGTAAGGTATACTTTCATGGCAAGGCACCGTAAAATGTCACTGTAGTCTCTTTTTACTGTGCGCAAGAAGTTATTTTATAGCAGTAAGAAAATCATGTGAAATTTTACTCACCAAAAGTGGCTGCATTGTACGTAGTGGATCCTCCTCCAACGCTTTTGCTCCCTGTGATGATAGTTTTCCCAATACCGTCGCCCACCATCATAATATTTTTCAGTTTGCTTCCTATCTCTACGTTCTCCCTGTACGTACCAGCCTTCACGTATATCACGTACCTTCCACTCCCGGACCGCTTTGAGGCGGCGGATATCGCGTCATTTATCGTCCTATAATTTCCTGAACCATCCTGCGCCATGACGATGTTTGCCCGAGAAGCCGGTGACGACGACTGCAACAGCTTCCTGTCACCGGGTTTCACCCACGTGGGGAACCCATCTTTGTACGTCGGTTCCTTGTAAGGTGCCTTGCTGAGAGCCCGCGTGTTACTGATTAGCTTGGACACGTTATTTGACATCATGGGAGGAAGATAGTCCGGGACACCGAGTTCGATAAACCCGTTCCGGCACGTTTCTAGGTTGGTTAAAGCCGTGCTGAGCCATGTCTGACGATCGTCTTTGTTGAGATTGGGGCTGGAGTCAACAGTTTTGTTGAGACTAAGGACGGTTAGCTCATAGAGATTTAAACAATCGGACCATGCAGCCTTTTCGCGCTCGTTTCGGCACTTAGGACCTAATGAATACGCGTTTCTTTCGGCATGAGTGGCACGCTCTAAGGCAAGGTGCATGGTGATTTTGAGGAAATCAGGCTCATCTTTGATCGGCGTAATTTTTTTATCATTGCTCAAAAAATACTCGCACGGCACCGGGTTCGGAGTTTTGCCGCACCACAATCTCACATCCTTGGTCCTATACCCTAACACAACTGGAAAAACAAAACAAGAAACCACTAAAAGCGCTACGAAGATTTGAGAATGTGCTAATGCCATATCTGGGGTTTGATTCTTTGAAAATACTAGGGTTTATATGGGATATTAGAGCTCCATCCCTCCGTCTCCTTATATAGATGTTTGGGTCCACCGAAAGGTTTGAAAATTTTCACTTTCTCGAACTGTAAATTAGTACAAAACTGATTGTTTGCAGCTTGAAAAGTAAATTTTTTTAATAGTAAGATAGGAAAAGTAAAAACAAAACATGCATTGACGTTACATGCAAATGACATATAATATTAAGATGAAGAGCGTTACTTTGGTATAACAGCGAGCTGTCACCCATTGTGACGTTACATGCAAATGACATATAATATTACGTGATTGCCTTTGCTGCATATTAGCCCTAAAAAAACTATGGGACGGGTCCTTAATTTCAATGGATTCACCATTTTTCTAAATGAAAATTTATATATATATATATATTTTATTATTATTAATCTCAACCATTTGAATTGAACGTTTATACATCTGATATTTATAATACTCAAACCTGAGATCACAAGAAATAAGAATAATTAAGTATGTACCCCTATAAATAAATACTAAGGTTAATGGTTAGATATTAAGTTTTTCTTTCACAAAAATTCTCTTATGTTTTCTTACTTTCTATTAGTGAAATTCTTCTCCTCTGTCCGTGGTTTTTCCTTTTTGGGTTTTCCATGTAAATATTGGTG